CAACCAGATTTTAAAACCAGGAGCCACTCATCATTGGAGGCCCTTCCACTCCCTCAGTCCTCACAAGTCTGTCACACATCATGTTTCTCAACATAAAATAAGCAAGGGTCTCTCCCTTCCCGCTGTGAGGATCATAGTCTCAGCCCCTATGGTTTCTCTGCTGGACTCTGAGTTGGTCCCAGGCACCTTTGACTCAGGAGCTCGGAACTGACACAGGGGCAGAGAAAATGAGCTGGTACTCTTTTACACTTGCAATTTGCAAAATTGTGGAAAATTAGAAAGTTTGTATGAGACTCACTTATGACAAAACCTGACCAGGATCTTGTAAGACTAATGCTAATCTTTGCATTCCCCGTTAGTGAGAATGTTAGATTTCACTACAGAAACCTGAGTGTGTGTGAGGATGACTTCTTCCCCAGGTCCAGGGGATTATGTACTAGGAATTAGAAAGCTGGATGTAGAGGATGATGATGTCATCAGGGACACATCAACAGGCTGATTTTCACCCATCACCTATTTAATTACATCACTGACCTCAGTACCTATAAAAGGGAGGAGCATTGGGAAAGCAGATCAGATGAACCAGTGAAGGCAGCCAGCCACTCAGTGTCTCAGTCTTTGATCCAGAATTCCTGAGTCTATAGTTCCATCTTCTTGAGGGGGTGAGTTGCCAGAACGAAAGTTGCAATTTTGTGTGTGCGAGTGTACATGCATGTGTATGTAGGCTTAGCTCTGAGGAGGATGTTCCTATATACAAAGATATGGGGTCTCTCATTCGTGGGGGTTGGTCTTTTGTGGATGTCGCTCTAGCTGTGCAAAATCTGGCCGATTGAAGGAGACATCTCTTGGGAAAGTCTGTTTGTATGGCTGTGTGGTCTTGTTAATGGTATGTTTCTAGTAACTCCTTTTTATGGCATCTTGTGAGAGTGAGGGTTCATGGTTCATTGGGGTGAGGGTAGAAGTTGACATTTAAAGTGTGACTGGTGCCCTGGCCGGCTTGGCCTAGCGGTTAGGGCGTTGGCCCACAGACTGAAGGGTCTTGGGTTTGATACCCAGTTAAGGGCCCATACCTGGGTTGCAGATTCGATGTTTCTCTCTCTCTCTCTCTATTCCTTTCTCTCTCTAAAAAAAAATGGATAAAAAACGTTAAAATATTTTTTCTTTAGTATATTTTCTGCTCCTATGGCTTTTTTCCCTCCTTCTCTCCTTGATTATTTTATCTGTTAATCTCAATTTCTTCTTCATACTTCTCTTCCAACATTTTATTCCTGATGGCTTATGTTGTTGACTACGATTTTTATGAGGTTGCCGTACTTTCTCCATATCTATTTTTATTTTTTATTTTTTTGTTCAGATGGAGTGGGAGGGAGAGAGAGGAAGAGAGAGAGAAAAACATCAACGTGAAAGGGACACATCGAGTGGCTGCCACCCACCCGCATGACCCAACCAGGGCTGGGGACAAACTGCAACCAAGGTACCTGCCCCTAGCGGGAACCGAACCTGGGTCTCTCTGGACCGCAGGCCGACACTCTAACCGCTGAGCCAAACCGGCCAGGGCTATTTTTATTTTTTATCCTCACCCGAGGACCTTTTGCATTTATCTTCAGCTAGAGCGGGAGGGAGAGAGGAAGAGAGGGAGAGAAACTTTGATGTGAGAGAGATACATATGACTGCTTGCCACCCACAGGACCCCAACCTGGGCTGGGGACAGACTGCTACCGAGGGACTCTCTGGTCCGCAGGCTGACGCTCTAACTGCTGAGCCAAACCGGCCAGGTTTCTCCATATCTAATTACTATTTCCTGAATGGATGAGTTGCTCTGTCTCTTGAGCTTTTTTGTCTGTTAGTTTTCTATCCAATGATCTTGTTAGCTTTTGGCGCCCTCAGGCCTTGTCCACTCATCTTCTTAACTGTGTTTATCCCATCAACTCTTGAATTATGTCGCTGACCTCAGTCCCTAAAAAGGGAGGAGCATTGGGAAAGCAGGTCAGATGAACCAGTCTTTGGTTCAGAATTCCTGAGTCTGTAGTTCCATCTTCTTGAGGGGTGAGTTACCAGAACGAAAGTTGCAATTTTGTGTGTGCGAGTATACATGCATGTGTATGTAGGCTTAGCTCTGAGGAGGATGTTCCTATATACAAAGATATGGGGTCTCTCATTCGTGGGGGTTGGTCTTTTGTGGATGTCGCTCTAGCTGTGCAAAATCTGGCCGATTGAAGGAGACATCTCTTGGGAAAGTCTGTTTGTATGGCTGTGTGGTCTTGTTAATGGTATGTTTCTAGTAACTCCTTTTTATGGCATCTTGTGAGAGTGTGGGTTCGTGGTTCATTGGGGTGAGGGTAGAAGTTGACATTTAAAGTGTGACTGGCACTCTGGCCGGTTTGACTCAGCAGTTAGAGAGTCAGCCTGCGGACCGGAGTGTTCCGGGTTCGGTTCTGCTGAGGGCACTTACCTCGGTTGCAGTTTGTCCTGGCCCCATGGGGTTGTGTGGGTGGCAGCCAGTCGATGTGTCTCTCTCATATGGATGTTTCTCTCTCTCTCTCTCTTCCCCTCTCTCTCCTTTCCACTCTATCTGAAGATAAATGCAAAAATGTCCTCGGGTGAGGATAAAAAAATAAAAAATAAAAACGTATCTTAAAAAAAAAAATAAAGTGTGACTGGCGTCCTGGCCGGCTTGGCTCAGCAGTTAGGGCATTGGCCCACATACTGAAAGGGTCTCAGGTTTGATAGCCGGTTGACAGAGCACATCCCTGGGTTGCAGATTCTATTCCAGCCTGAGTGAGGTCATGTCAAAAGCAACCGATCGTAGTGTCTCTCTCACATTAATGTTTCTCTCTCCCCCTCCTCCCTTCCTTTCTGTCTAAAAATCAATGGAAAAATGTCCTGGGGTGAGGATTAACATAAGTAAATAAATAAAGTGACTGTCAAGTGCTGACCAGGTGGCTAAGATTGTGAGTTTCATTTCTGATCAGGGTACATATGTAGGTTTCAGCTTTGATCCTGGTCAGGGCGTGGATGGGAGGCAGCTGATGTTTCTCTCCCATCAATGTTTCTGTCTCTTTCTTTCTCTCTCTCTCAACCCCCTTCTTCAATCTATCCTCCAGTGAGGATTTTTCTAAAAAGAGTGTGAATATCAGTTATTTAGTAGACATACTGTGTGCTTACCATGTGACACCAAATGCTCCCCCAGCTTCATAAAGTTTAACTCTGCTCCATGGAAACTCTGGGAATTAGTGTCAAAGGAGATTAGAGACCCCATGACACAAATGGGGACCTGATTGTTCCTGGCGTCACACAGCTTATAAATTGCTGGACTCCAGATTAGGACCCTGACAGTATTGTTTTTTTTTTTCATTGAGAAGTAATTGACATATAACATTGTACTAGTTTCAGGTGTACTACTTAATCATTCTATATTTGTAAATATTTCAAAATGGCTGCCACCCTAATTCTAGTTAACATTCATGAGCACACATAGAAAAATATTTTTTTCTTGTGAGGAGAACATTTATCATGGTCCGGTTTTATTTTATTTTATTAAAAAATTTTTTTTTTAAATTTATCCTCACCCGAGGACACTTTTTGATATTTTGTTCAGATAGAGTGGGAGGGAGAGAGAGAGAGAGAAACATCGACGTGAAAGGGACACATCGAGTGGCTGCCACCCACACGACCCAACCAGGGCCGGGGACAAACTGCAACTGAGGTAAGTGCCCTTAGCGGGAACCGAACCCAGGTCTCTCCAGACCGCAGGCCATTGCTCCAACTGCTGAGCCAAACCGGCCAGGACTATTATGGTCTGGTTTTAAATTCCAAGGTCTTATGCATAAAATGTTCCACAGCTTTGTATGTGTGGGGTTGAATGCCTGTCTCCAAGTTTGACCATGTGGTCTGCATGTGCCTGCGGTAGTCTAGAAAGAGAATTTGTGGGGAGACTCAGAAGAAGGACAGGGCATGGATCCTACAGGAGAGGGACAGAGACAGGTACCGGAATACCTCGGTATAAGAACTGGGTATAACAACACCTAAGATTGGAGCTGGAAGGTTAGAGGTGGCCCAGGCAAGGCTTCATGGGACCAGGAAGGACTTTGCACTTTTCTCTGAGAACAAGAGGGATCCATGAAGGGATTCAACTGGAGTGCGACCTAAGCAGATTAGCATTTCGTAAAGGTTGACTGGAAGCTTTGTGATAAAGGGGCTAGGGAATGGTGAAAATGTGTCCAATTTTCTCTTATGGGTTCTTTTTTCTTTAATGATTTCGAGAGAGAGGAAAGGAGAGGGAGAGAGAGAGAGAAACATCAATGTCAGAGAGAAACATTGATTGGTTGCCTCCAAAACGTTTCGCGACTGGGCATCAAACCAAAACATGGGCATGTGCCCCGACGGGGAATCTGACCCACCACCGTTAGGTGTACAAGATGATGCTTCAGCCAACTGAGCCACACTGGCCAGGCCCCGGTTTTTGCATTTGTTTTTGTTTTATTATTCCTCACCCAAGGATATTTTCCCATTTATCATCAGATAAACTGGAACGGAGGGAGAGAGAGACAGAGTCAGAGAGAAACATCAATGGGACAGGACCACATCGACTGGCTGCCTTCTGCAGGACCCGACCAGGGCCCAGGACAAACCGCAACCGAAGTATGTGCCCTTGACCGAAATCAAACCCGCAACTCACTAGTTTGCAGGCCAATGCTCCAACCGCTGAGCCACACCGGCTAGGGCTCCCAATTTTTGTTTTAATGCTCAAGGAGACTTTGTGTAAAATTAGATTTCCTTCTTTCTTAAATGTCTAGTAGAATTCATCCATGAAATGTATCTGTACCTGAACTTTTCTGTTTGTTTTTAAGTATGTCAGTGCTATAATTAATTATATATCTCTTGTATCTCTAGCTTACAGCATTTAATCATCTACCAGTTCTTGAAACAGAGCCCCAGAGAAACAACTAAGCAGAGATTAAATTCCTGAAGTTTAGTCTCTCTGAGCATTTGTGTTAAGAATGGCTTTCAATCTCAGAGTCTCACGTCGAGGTGAACCATCCAGAAATGGTCCTGGGTCAGAAAATCTAGAGCTTCAACCTATCCGAGGGCCTGCCATCCAGGAAAGGGAGGGGGTCTCTACGTTCCCGAGCACTGAGTTCAACTTAATTCAAAACAGCAGTAACTTGTGTGCGAGGCAGGAGCTGCAACAACTCTATACGTCATTTAACTCATGGCTGCAGCCGGAAAAACACAGCAAGGAGGAAATTATTTCTCGCTTGGTGCTGGAACAGTTTATGATCAACAGGCACTGCAGTGACAGGTCCATGCTGAAGCAGAAATGGGAATCGAGTGGCAGAAACCTGAAGACATTTGTGGAAGACCTGAGTGATGATTGCTTGAAGCCCCCTGGCTTGGTGAGTAGAGGGTTCTGATCCCTGGGATGAGGGGCAGAGGGGAGAAAGGAATAATACCCATAAGTAGAAAGTTACAGTAGATCCAGTTATTAGTCCCCACCAAGGGGAATCTTTACCATTGTAAGGAAGCAAGGAAAAAACTCTATATTCTCGTCTCCAGTGGGACATATAGGCGCCAATGTATTAATTGATTCAACTCATTTGAGCTGGTGAGGTGGTAGGAGGGGTCACTAAGAAATTCACAATTGAGCCCAGCCCATTTGACTCAGTGGATTGAGCCTTGTCCCAGGCACCAAGAAGTCACTGATGGGATTCCCGGTCAGGACACAAGCCTGGATTGTAGGCACCAGCCATAGTGGGGGCTATGCAGGAGTCAGCCAAACAGTGTTTCTCATCAATATTTCTCTCTCCCTCCCTTCCTTTCTGTCTAAAATAAACTAAAAAAGTAGAATTTCACAATGGAGCAGAAACCTCAAGAATGAGGAGAAATGACTTAACATGAACTGGTTCTTCCCTCAGAAAGCCTTAGTACTAGTCTTTTATTTTGAATGTTTTATCTTTATTGATTTTTAGAAAGAGAGGAAGGAAGAGTGAGAGATAGAAACATCGATGAGAGAGAACATTGATTGGCTGCCTCCTGCATGCCCCTCACTGGGGATCGGGCCCACAACCTGGGCATGTGCCCTGACCAGGAATTGAACCAGCAACCTCTTGGTGCATAGGTGGACGATCAACTACTGAGCCACACCGGCTGGGTTTTTTTTTTTTTTTTTTTAGGGAAGACACTAACAAGAAATTACCATGAACTACGACAAGCAGAGATATAAAGGTCAGGGCAGTGGGCATGGGAGAACGCAGTAGAGGGATCTTGGAAAGTCTGATGAGGGTGGGTTTTCCACAGAGGCGTCCTTGGCTGAACAGATGCAGCCACGACAGTGATCAGGCTTTGTTTACAGGTGCACGTCCACATGCAGGGACAGGAAGCCCTCTTTTCTGAGAATATGCCATTAAGGGAAGTCATTGTTCTCTTCAACAAACAATTGTCCGCAGGAACCCCAACAGAGACAAACGTGGGGATGCCCTCCTGGACTCCCCAAGATACTTCTCTGCCAACAGGACAAGGTGAGGGGAAGCCGGGTTCCAGAGGGCTGTTCTATGTGGACTCTCGGATACAATTTCACTGAGTCTTTTCTTTATTTTCACAGATGACGAAGATAAAGAAAACAATGGCAACAGTTCTTTGAAAACGACTGAAGTAAATAACAGTATTATTAGTCAAGGCAGTGAAATACCTTTCCTACTCATTATTCCGGGAGAGAACTGTCCTGGGCATGAAGAGGGAGGTGTTTCTTTGGAAAATCCACTCAGCTCAGGAAGAGCAAGTCTAGGAACCTCCTTATCCCAGGAAGGGCCCTTGGAAGGACCCTCTTATCAAGGTGTCCTCATGAAGGTGGAACCAGCGTTTCACTCCATGCCGGACCAGGTCACCACTGAGCTTGTCCCTACCCACCAGAGCAATACAGGAGACTCCACACGTGGGGGACACCAAGAAAGCGGTCACAGAGCCCGAAAGTCATATCAATGTGAGGAGTGTTCCAAGATCTTTAGGTATTTCTCTAGGTTAAAAGTCCATCAGAGAAGACACAGTAATGAGAGGACATTTATTTGTGCCACGTGTGACAAAGGCTTCTTCCAGGCCTCAGACCTACATGTGCATCAGAAGATTCATGCAGGAGAGAAGCCTTTCAGGTGCAGCACGTGCGCCAAACGCTTCAGCCACAAAACCAACCTTCTGGCTCATGAGAGAATCCACACGGGAGAGAAGCCCTACATGTGCTCTGAGTGCAAGAGATGCTACCGCCAGTCATCCACCTACCACCGCCACCTGCGGATGCACCAGAGGACTGCTTTCAGCTGTGTTTCTTCCACAACAAATGATTCCTCCATGTAATGCCTACAGACATGTCATGATTATGTATATTTCCAGGATAATTCTCTGTTTAGAAAACATTTGACAACTTCCCGATCGTATTTTCCATTCATTCCGCACCCCCGCACCCCACTAAAATGTAAGTTTAAAGAGGACAGGGAGAGCAAAGTATCTCAGGAATCTATAAAGTGGCTGACACATGTCAAATTACCAATAAATACTTGAATAAATGTAAATGTAATGTTGGTGTTTATTTCTTTTCTTTTTTTTTAATCTTCATGCGAGGATATTTTTCCATTTATCACCAGGTAGAGTGGGAGGGAGGGAGAGAGAGAGAAATATCGATGTCAGAGACAAACATTGATTGGTTGCCTCCCATATATTTCTTAACTGGGCATCAAACTGAAACGTGGGCATGTGCCCTGACTGGGAACCTGACCTGCCACCTCTGGGTGTACGGGTTGATGCTCCAACCAACAGAACCACATGGGCTAGGACTCCCCAGATTTCTATAACATAGACTGGCTGGTGTGGCTCAGTGGATTCAGCATCAGCCTGTGGACTGAGGACCCGGTTCGATTCCTGGTCATGGCACATGCCAGGTTTCCACTTCATCCCCAGTAAAGTGGCTTGAAGGAGGCAGCCAGTCGATGTATCACTCTCTCATCAATGTTTCTATCTCTCTGTCCCTTTCTTTCTCTGTACCGCAGGCCGACGCTCCAACCGCTGAGCCAAACTGGCCAGGGCTCTGTCCCTTTCTTTCTAAAAAAAAAAAATCAATAAAAATATTAAAAATTTTTTCTTTAGCATATCTTCCAGGGCCAGAGAGGAACCATAGCTGAGGTATGTGCCCTTGACCGGAATCGAACCCAAGACTCTTTGGTCCACGGATTGATGCTCTAACCACTGAATCAGGCCGGCCAGCATGATGTTTGTTTCTTAAAATCCAGGAATGTGTGTCCAAGTGAGAAGGCCCAACCCCAGGAAACAAACCCTGCCTGCTACCCCCTCTGTCCACATCCTTTATTTTTTAAATCTTCACCCTAGAATATATTTATTGATTTTAGATACAGGGAGGAAGGGGATAGAGAGAGAGAGACATTGATATAAGAGAGAAAAATTGACTGGTTTCTTCCTGTACACACCCTGACTGGAGATCGAACCTGCAACCTAGATATGTGTCCTGACTAGGATTCAAACCCTCCACCTTTTGGTTTATGGGATGATGCTCCAACTAACTGAACCACACAGGCCAGGACCTTTCCACATTCTTTATTTTAGTGTAACCACAGGCACCTAAAAATGTGGGGAAGGGCCTGGCCGGTGTGACTTAGTGATTGAGTGTCAACCCATGCATCAAGATGTCGCCAATTTCATCCCAGTCAAGGCACATGCCCAGGTTGTGGGCCAAATCCCCAGTGCGGGGCATGCAGGAGGTGGCCAATCGATGTTCTCTCTCTTTGTTTACATCTCTCTCTAAAATCAATAAGGAAAATAAAAATTTTTAATAAAATTCATGACTTTCATAAAAAAAAAAAGAAAAATGTGGGGAAAGGAGGTGGGAACTTGGAAATAGGCCTTAGCCCATTAAAGGGAACCATTCTATTTAAATGATGTAATAATTCCTTTACTCAACTGGAAATATTAATAGCTGAACTGGACATGAATAAGTGTGGTGACTGAAAGTTGCAGAATGCTATTTTATGAACAGATACCATAAAAATCCAATGTTTCCCATTCATTTGTTCTAAACCTTGTGGGTACAGATACCATAAAAATCCAATGTTTTCCATTCATTTGTTCCAAACCTTGTGGGTACAGGGAGTGAAGGAGCCTTTTCAAACCCAACCAGTGTGAAAAGGCAATTTGGAGAAAAAAAGGATTCTGTGCAGCAGGGAGGCAAAAGTATGTGTTCTGGTTATTGAGAATCCATTTGTGAGCTAGTTTTCACTAGGGGCTCAATCCCACTGAGACACTGGCAGGTGCAGTGTACAAATGGCTTGAATCATGGAAGGGGACACTCTGCAGGGTCAATTGTGACATTTCTGCTTTCCTCTGCATCCACAGAAGAGAGGACTGATGGGTTGCGAAGAAGGATCCACTGTGCAGAGAAACGTTCATCTGGGACTGTATGCAAATGTTTTCCGATTGTGAATATTATTTTTTAAATTTCCATTTATTTTCTTATTGAATTCATTGGGGGTGACTTTGGTTAATAATATAATGTAGGTTTCTTTCAGGTGTGCAATTCTACAACACATCATCTGTTGCAGTTTGTCCCCGGCTCTGGTTGGGTTGCGCGGGGGGCAGCTACTCGATGTGTCCCTTTCACGTCGATTTTTTTCTTCTCTCTCTCTCTCTCCCTCCCACTCTATCTGAACAAAAAATGGAAATATCGCCCTGGCTGGTTTGGCTCAGCGGTTGGAGCGTCGGCCTACGGTACAGAGAGACCCGGGTTCGGTTCCCGCTAAGGGCATGTACCTTGGTTGCAGTTTGTCCCCGGCCCTGGTTGGTCGTGCAGGAGGCAGCCACTCGATGTGTCCCTTTCACATTGATGTTTCTCTCTCTCTCTCGTCCTCTCTCTCCCTCCCGCTCTATCTGAATAAAAAATGAAAAAATGTCCTCGAGTTAGGATTAAAAAATTTTTGGAAAAAAACCAAAAAACAAAAAACCAAAGATGGAGAAGAAGTGCATGCTTGGTCTAGGGAAGCAGAGAGAAGGTGGGAGGGAGGGAGGGAGATAGAGAAAAAAGAGAGAAGAGAAGATGCTCAACCGCTGAGCCAAACTGGCCAGGGCTTTTTTTCAGGGCTTTTTTTTTTCTTTTCCCATAGCAATTTGAATAGAGAAATTTCATAAAAATGTTAACTAAAACTTTGGAGTATTGAGAAATTGCTCATTTTTGTGAGTAAAGAAAACTCTAAAAAACTAAGATAATGTGACGTGTATATAAACAAACAAAAGGTGATTAAAATTGCAACACAAAACAGTAGAAAAAATTTGTCAGAGAATAGTAGAAAAGAATTTGTGAACATCTGACTGAAGGCCTTGTATATAAAAGAAATTATAGAAATCAGTAAAAAAAAAAAAAGACAAATATAAAATAGGCAGCACTGCATTAAATAACATATGATTATTAGTCCTAGAAGAGCTGTTTCACATGTGTCATGATGAAATTGTAAGTTAAAACTTCAGTGAGAAAGCCCAACAAATCCACTAAGATGGAACCAATTAAAAAGAATCACAACACCTAGATTGGGCTCAGCCTAACTCAGACTTCAGCGTCTAGTGGCTGCCACCCACACGACCCAACCAGGGCTGGGGACAAACTAAGGGCATGCAACTGAGGTACATGCCCTTAGTAGGAACCTTACCTGGGTCTCTCTGGACCGCAGGCCGACGCTCTAACCGCTGAGCCAAACTTGCCAGGGCTACATAATCGTTTTTAATAGCTCTCTGTAAATTGCATTTCACAACATTTTTTCTGACATAAATTCCTTACACACAAGAGTCCTAGCAATCACCAGGAAAATGACAATCCCTTCCCTGCAAGACAAAATTGAAAGGGTTAATGTTTTAACAAAATTAAACTCCATTCTGACCAGTTATTCCTGCACATAAACACCAGAGTAGTTTTCTAAAAAACCTGGGACTGACACCTAGATAAGGGGTTAATGATGGCCTTGGGAAACTTGAAGGGACCATAAAAAGGAAGGAGATTAATGATGGCCCAGATCACTGCTGGAGCAGACTCCTTACCTCTGAGACAACATGTATCAGCCCTGACACCAATTGTGTGGTGCCAAGAGAATGAGGGTTTTTCTTTAATGTTGTGTTTTTGTTTTTTTTAAATCCTCACCGGAGGACATTTTCCTATTTTGTTTTTGGTTCAGGTAGAGTGGGAGAGAGAGAGGAACACAGAGAGAGAGAGAAACATCAATGTGAAAGGGACACATCGAGTGGCTGCCACCTGCACGACCAACCAGAGCCAGGGACTAACTGCAACCGAGGTACACACCCTTAGCGGGAACCGAACCCGAGTCTCTCTGGACCCGCAGGTCGACGCTCTAACCGCTGAGCTAAACTGGCCTGGGCTGCTTTTTTTTTTTTTTTAGTTTCTGTAGTTTGGGCCTATAAAAACCAGAGAACAAAGAGATTTGGATGCTGGGCTCTTTTTTAAGGAGTCAGTCCGGCTGCACCGAGCAGTGTGCAATAAAGCCATTTAGCTCTACACTGGCCTTGCGTTGTGATCTCCTGCCAGCTCAGACCTTTTAGAAATAAGATGATAACATTCTGTTGGCCCGTTTGCACGTGTATTCTGCCTGAGAACACTGTATTCACTATCCCATACCATACAGAGTTTTATAAATTGCTCTCTGTTTGAGAAATATGTCAGATTCCTAAATGTGTTTGACATTTCTTATAAGATTGTGCAGAAAATAGTAAATGGATAAACAATGTTGTTCTATGGATTGGACACTGTCACTGAGGATACAGACGGGAGAGATGTTCTCTGTGCAAACTAGAGGTAGAGATAACTCCTCATTTTCCTCCTTAAGATCAGCCTAAATTCCTCCTTATATTGCAAGCCATGGCCCAGAACAAACATACAGAGTGTTCCAATGTCCACTAACACCACTGACAGCATGCATTTGAATTGGCAAAAAGTTATGAACACATTCCAGGTACGAGTATATGCAGTTTATGTCTGAATGAGAATATATGTCCATTTGGATTTGTAGTTTTTGGAAATCATTGAAATCATACATTTTGCCACAGGGAGCATTCTGAACTTCATGGAATCTGAAATTAGGCCTCCAAACAACAGATCAATTGCAAACAACACTCTCCAGAAACCTGCGACCAGCTCCCAAAACCTAAGTTGTCATTTCTCAGCACCACTCCCTCCAGCAACACTTTTTTTCTCAAGGTTGCTGACTTGGGACCCTATTACCACCTGTACGTCTAGAAAACTACATTACCCGGAGGGCAATGCAACAAAAATGGCGGGGTTTAGCCAATGAAAGCCCAAGACAGGCGTATTTCCCGCGTGCACATCAGGTTTGGGCGGGACTTCCGGCGTCGTTCGCGTGGCGGTCATTTTGACCTCTTGGGCAGTTCACGGAGACAGAGGCTGCCGGGCGCCGGTTTGTGACCGAGGAGGCGTCATCGGCGTTGTCCCCGCTGCGTAGTGGTGTGTCCAGGCTTGGGGAGCCCCATCCGGGGGTGTTGGGGCCTCCGTGCCTCCCAGACGCCGCTCTGCCTCCCGAGTTCGACGCCGCCTCACCCCATTTAACCTACAGCCTCGGGTGCGGGGCCCCTGTAGATCCTGCAGCCCAGGTCGCAGCGCCCAGAACCGTGAGTCGCTCGTGGGTGACAAACGTTGTGAGGCGGGGGACGAGGGGGACAGGATGGAAAGCCACCCTGTCAGGATGTGGGGTAGGACTGAGCCAGGAGGATCGGAAAACACGGGCTCTGTTTTGTGTCTAAAGGCAACGAAGAAGAGGAGACGGAGGTGTGTGTGCGTTTTACTTTAATTCTCAGGACGTGGAGCCCATGGAAAAATACTGGAGATGGGACACTGCCCGAGGTCAGGTTCTAACGATTTCCCAAAACTGCCCAGAAGAGGAATAGGCTAGAAGGGAGAGGAGCGCAGGGAGGACAGGAGGTGAGGTCCGGTAAAAGACAACGTGACTGACAAGAATGTGCTCTGAGGACGAGGCCCTGAGGCAGTGCAGGCATCTCGAGGTCACCTGGCCCTGGCGCTGGGCAAGGGCACTGAGCAGCCTGAGCCCAGGGACCCTGGCGGTAGTTGCCAGGCTCTCAACAGACCTTCGTCTTTCCACAGATTCCTGCACCAGCAGAATCGCTCAGGGTACTGCTTTGTGAAGCTTATTTCAGGGCCTCACACTCTTATGCACTCTGATGTAGTGGTGTCCTGGCACTGTTGTGCCACACTTCCAGCTCTTGGGCCTTGGCTTCTTGAATCCAAGAATCCTAAGTCTACGTCTAAGGTTATATGAAGTGGTTCCTGTTTTTGGCAACCTGTGGAATGAGATGTGGGAGGTCCTCCCAGGTGTAGGTACCAGAATGTGCAAAGGCTTGGAGGGGATGCTGAGCTAGTTCAGGAACCTTCAGGTCTCTTTCTTTGTTATGGGGACTGGTAACAGTGGGACAGGAGTCAGGTCTAGAGCAGCTTTGTGACAAGTTGGGTGTCGGTTCTGCAGGTGATGGAAGCATTGGGAGGGTTGGAGGAGTAAAGAGGGAGGTGATTTGAGGAAGGTCTCATTAGATTCCCTGTGGCTGCAGCATCAACAGTATGACTGTGAGGGAGGTGGTAGAAAGATCAGGGAGGAGGCTGCTACAGTACTCTGGGTGAGTGTGGTGGTATCTGGCTTATGGAGGTGGAAGAAGCAGTTGGATTCTGGATTGGTGTTTCAGGTGTGACTGCCTGGATTTTATAATTTTTTTTTTTTTTTATCCTCACCCGAGGACATTTTTCCATTTTTTGTACAGACAGAGTGGGAGGGAGAGAGAGAGGAAGAGAGAGAGAGGGAAACATCGATGTGAAAGGGACACATCGAGTGGCTGCCACCCGCACGACCAACCAGGGCTGAGGACAAACTGCAACCGAGGTACGTGCCCTTAGCGGGAACCGAACCCGGGTCTCTCCGGACCACAGGCGGACGCTCTAACCGCTGAGCCAAACCGGCCAGGGCTGGATTTTATAATTTTGAGGTTGGGAGAGAAAGAGGAGTCAGTGATGACATGAAGATTTGGTTTTAGCAGCTGGCAGATGCTGAGATGGGGAACTCCATAGTAGGAAGAGTAGTGTTCATTGGGAATATGAAAACTTTTATTTTTGGCTTGCTAAGGTGTGAGATATTTCAGAGGGCAGATCATGGGTGTCTGGAACTCTGAGGAGCAGTTCAGGATGGAGATGTGTTCAAAAGGTAGTAGAGAGTGTATGGACCACGAAGGAGCTGTAGGTCTCTTTAATATGGGGAATCATGGTTGGAAGGTAATAGTAATAGCACAGGAAAATGAGTGTGGGCCTGAGGGTTGGGATTTCTGCTTGAGCCCCCATTTGTGAAATGGGGGTGCTACAACACAGCACAGGCACAAAAGTGGTCATATAGAAGGTGTAGAAGAGATTATGGATTGTCAGTGGCCAAGGCCTTCAAAAGATGAGTGGACGTGAGATGAATTGAAGGCCTAGGGGTAATTCACACAAGATGAGATGGGGCTGGTGCATATTTACTGCTCTGAGGACTCACCACCATTTTTTTCTGACCTGGAGTGTTGCAGCAAAAAAGGCAGATTAGTTTATGGGCATAAATGGTCATCTGGGAGACTCACTGGGCATACAATAGAGGGCCATTGGAGCTGGGTCTTGAGTGAGAGAGAGAGGTGGAGAGAAGACAGCTGTGACTGGTGAAGGGACATCATATACAGCAGGAAATGTAGACTTTTGATATCTGAGTCTGATGTGGTTCTCAGTAGGTGAGGTTGAACAAAAAAAAATAGCCAGGGACAGAGGCCTTCATAGCAGGCAAGACTCAAGACTGCCTCTATGAGTGTGGACTATCAGCGTCTGCATAGAACTTGATCCTGTTTGAATTTCCCAAACATTCACTGGACCACATACACTGAGTAAATTGTAGGAGGCCAAGGACATGACTGTGGTGTAGGTCTGAATGAGGCTGGGGCTGTGGGATTGCAGGTGTGAGAGAGGTGTGGTAGAAAGAGTAAGGTGCACTTGGAGAGGGAGTGTGAATTCATGGCCCCAGGGCCCTGGCACTAGCATAAGTGAAGAAGGTGAGGTTTTGGAAATTCCAAGGGAATTGTCTGAAGAGAGTAGTGTGGTGCTGCTTGCCAGTCCCAAAGCTTAGGGGTTCCATTTATGTGCCCCGCCAGCCTTTTGTTGTTGAGGACTGACACAGTGATTAATAGGAATGAGATAGCATAGATAATGTCACCTGGGCTGAAATTCTCCACTGCCATGGCGAATGGAGAAGGATCCAAAAGAAACACGTTATGGAGGTGGTGAATTAAAATTTTAGAAAAGAAGCTGATTAGGAAACTAACCATCTTCATGGTGTATTTGTATTCCTTTAAAGGTGGGCCTCTGGGAATGTTGATGCATGAGAGAGCGGTGATTCAAAGGGTTGCATTCAGAGGGTAGTGTAAACAGATGGTGTCAGCACTCTGGCATTGGGGTCGAAAGGGTGAAGGTGATGCCTTGTGTTTTGTGTCTTGGAGGGACAATCTGGGGAACTGCGAGCGTATTGCCTGACGAGTGTCTAATCACTCACACCTCTCTGTGGCCAGCTTCTTTTTCTACTGTGTGTTTGTGACATCCACCATGTTAACAAGAAGCAGTGTGGTCTACATTGGAGGCAGGCCCAGAGCACATGTAACATTTGTCCGCCCATCTGTCTATTGTTGTGGGAAGGAGCAGAATCAATAAGAATATGAGAAAAGAATGTCTCTGATGGGACAAAGGCCTGTAATCTTTTCTGAGGTGGGTATTGTGAGTAGATGGGCATGGAGGGAGACGGGTGTGACAAACTGAATCCTAGGAGGAAACTGACCATGGAATGAACTGTCTTCATTATGACAGGATATGCACTTTGAGGACGTGGCCATTGTCTTCTCCCAGGAGGAGTGGGGGCTCCTTGATGAGGCTCAGAGACTTCTGTACTGCGATGCAATGCTGGAAATCTTTGCACTTGTAGCATCTGTGGGTAAGACCTTCACATCCCTTCTAGTGAACTGAGGTGATGTCCTGCCTTCCCTTTACTCTCCAGATGTGGTTTTCTATCTCCCACAGCCAGACCATGGGCTCTGCTGATTTCCCCTAATTTCTTGTCACGTGTGCTGTGGCTGCCAGTCTTGAGCTGTTTGGAGTGCCCTGAGCAATGGACACTCTGAGGATCCTTAACACCTGTTTCCTCAGAAAGTGCAGGGAAGTGCCCAGGTCACTTTGGCTTAGCGATTAGAGTGTCTGCCCGCAATCCGGGGAGTCATGGTTTTGAATTTAGTCGAGGGCACATATTTGGTTGCTATTCGATGCCTGGCCCTGGTTGGGGTCTCTTGGGATGCAACCCATCCATGTGTCTCTCTCACATCCATTTTCTCTCTCTATGTCTCTTCCCTTCTTTTTCTTCTACTTTATCTCAAAATCAAAGGAAAAATATCCTCAGGTGAGGATTAAAAAAAACAACAGTGCAGGGAAGTGTCTGGAGTTAGGAGTCTTGCAGATATCCTGATGGATCTCACTGTACTCTTCCTCTCTCTGGTAGAGTGACTCTGTTCACATCCAGGCTTTCCACATCTGCCCCCTTCCTTTAGCTAAAGGTTTTTTGACTGCCTGTGCCATGTTATGGTCTTTACTTACATGAACCAGCTGTTCTTGTAAAACCCTTCAATTCTTGTTTATATTATTTCCTTCCCTGAATACTACTGCATGCTGAGTTGCTCTGGATGTTCACCTGTCATGTCTTTCATTGATACTCAGAATATTTAGCTTTTACATACTTGTACAAGAAGGTGCTGAGAGAACACTGTATTTTTTTCACATGGTGAACATGCAAGACGGTCTCAGAGTAGGCCTGTCCCTCCTGTGTGGCAGTTGGGGGGAGGTATGACATAATGAGTCTGTTCAGATGCTACCAGAAACCTGCTTGTGTCTGGTAGTGTTTACCTGCAAGTGCCACTGGCCTCACCTCATTTCTACCTTTTCTTGCCTATAATTGGTACTTTGCTCACTTTTCATTTCATCTGTGACTTCCTGGTTTTTGGCTAATTTCACCTTTGTGATCTGTTCCTCTGCACTGCTGTCTCTATAGTGTTCTCCAACATTGACCTGCGCTTGTGTTAGGAGGTGCTCATTCATGCTTAAGTACTCCTTCAACACCAATTGCTTGTTTATTGAATTTTACTTGGAATAACACATAACCAACCTTCTGCAAGGCTTACCCACAGCACTAGTATACAAGCCCTGCTGAACGCTGTTAGCAGAAGCATGATTTGGAGATCCTGTTTGTCTTCCATGTGGTGCTTGCCATCTTCATGTAATTTTTTGGTGAGGTCTTCCCTGTTTTGTGATCGTCAGCGGCCCAAAACTTCACAGCTGCTTGTTAATCCTTCCTGCAGGTCTCAATTTCCAACAGTCACAAGGACCCAGTATATTATATGTATCACACTTTTGCGATGGGACTACCCCTCATCACCAAAGTGAACATACATTTCTTTAGCATTTCTCTGTTTTCAGATTGTTGGTGTAAAATGGATGATGAGATGGCCCCTCATGAGGAGATTGTATCTATAGAAGGAAAATCAGAGATCAGGGATTCTAAGACAGCTCCAGGATCCCAGAAGACCCATCTCTGTAAGCAGTGTGTCTCAGTGTTAAATATATTGCACCTGATTGAGTTACAAGCAGCAAACCTTGAACATAAAGCATTCTTCAGTGATGCATGTGTGAGAGGCTTGTGTTCTAGTGCAAACCTTCACCAGCCACAGAGCGATGTTAGTAGAGAAAAGCTCTGGAAAGAAGATGTGGACAGGGTCTCCGCTATGACCAGGGGCTGCTTCTACTTATCAGGGGTGTCTTTAACCAATAGGAAGGTTGGGGAAGACATCGCATCCATCTCAAGGCTTCTCCAGCACCAGGCCACGAATACCACAGAGGAGCCACACAGTAGCAATGAGATTTGGCAGGAATTTGGCAGACAAAAAAGGCCTCACCAGTGGGGTGAATGTGAGAAGCCGGCCTCCCACCACCAGAAAGTTGTTCAGTGTCAGGGTGTATGTTCTGGAGAAGGGCTTTATGAGTGTAACAAATGTGGGAAAGTTTTTAGACAAATCTTTAACCTCATTCAACATACGAGATTTCACACTGGAGTAATGCCGTCTGAGTGTAGTGATTATGGCAAGTCCTTCAGCCAAAGCTCTGCCCTCATTCAACACGAGAGAAATCACACTGGAAAAAAGTGGTATGAGTGCAGTGTTTGTGGTAAATGCTTTAGCCGCAAATTTATCCTCATTCAACATCATAGAGTTCACACTGGAGAAAAGCCGTATGAGTGCAGTGTTTGTGAGAAATCCTTCAGTCGAAAGTCTACCCTCATTGAACACCAGAGAATTCACACTGGAGAAAAGCCGTATGAGTGTAGTCATTGTGGGAAGTTCTTCAGTCAAAAGTCAACCCTCCTTCAACACCAGAGAGTTCACACTAAAGAGAAGCCATTTGAGTGTAATAATTGTGGGAAGTTATTCAGTAAAAGTACTTTCCTCATTCAACACCAGAGAGTTCACACTGGTGAAAAGCCATATGGATGTAGTGATTGTGGAAAGCCCTTTCGTCAAAGGTCTACCCTCATTCAACACCAGAGAGTTCACACTGGAGACAAGCCATATGAGTGTACTGATTGTGGGAAGTTCTTCAGTGAAAGTACTCTCCTCATTCAACACCAGAGAGTTCACACTGGAGAAAAGCCTTATGGGTGTAGTGATTGCGGAAAGTCCTTCACTCTAAGGTCTACCCTCATTAAACACCACAGAGTTCACACTGGAGAAAAGCCGTATGAGTGTAGTGATTGTGGGAAGTCCTTCAGTCAAAAGTCTACACTCATTCAACACCACAGAGTTCATACTGGAGAAAAGCCGTATAAGTGTACTGATTGTGGAAAGTTCTTCAGTGAAACCACTGTCCTCATTCAACACCAGAGAGTTCACACTGGAGAAAAGCCGTATGGATGTAGTGATTGTGGGAAATCCTTCCTTCGAAGGTCTACCCTTATTCAACACCAGAGAGTTCACACTGGAGAAAAGCCATATCAGTGTACTTATTGTGGGAAGTTCTTCGGTGAAAGCTCTACCCTCATTAAACACCACAGAGTTCACACTGGAGAAAAGCCCTATGAGTGTACTGATTGTGGGAAGTCCTTCAGTCGAAGGTCTAAACTCACTAAACACCAGAGAGTTCACACTGGAGAAAAGCCATATGAGTGTAGTGATTGTGGGAAGTCCTTCAGTCAAAGGTCTGCCTTCATTCAACATCGCAGACTTCATACTGGAGAAAAGCTGTATGAGTGCAGTGTTTGTGGTAAATGCTTTAGCCGCAAAGTTGCACTCATTGAACATCAGAGAGTTCACACTGGAGAAAAGCTGTGTATATGAATGTACTCCTCATTCATCACCACAAACTTCACACTGGAGAAAAGCTGTGTGAGTGTACTGATTGTGGGCATCATTCATTCAGGCAAAGCTCTACTCCCATTCATTATCAGAGAGTTCACTCTGGAGGAAAACTATATGAATGTAATGAATGTGGCAAATTCTTTAGACAGCACTCCCATCTTATACAACACTGTTGAGTACAATGTAGAGAACAGGCTATGAGTGACGAATGTGGGAAGCGACCCACAAATCTGCCCTCATTCATTACCAGGGAGTTCACCCTAGAGAAAAGCCATATTGAGTATAATGAATGTGTAAAATGCTTTAGACAGCATTCTAAATGATTTATTCAACACTGTGCAATACATTCTAGAGGAAAGCCTTATGAGTGTGGCAAATGGGAGAAATCGTTTAGTGATACCTCTAGTCTCATTTAACACCAAGGAATTCATACCGGAGAAAAGTTATATGAGTGTATTGATTGTGGGAATTCCTTCAGAAAAAGCTCTGCCCTCATTCATCAACACCGGGTTCACACTGGAGAAATACTTTATGAGAGTAGTGAAGATTGTGGGAATGCCTCCCACTGAAGCTGTTTCCTCATTTGACACTAGAAGTTTCACACTGGTGAACGACCCTCGAGGTGTAGTGATTGTGTGAATTCCTTCAGCCAAATGTCTAAGTTCATTGAACACCACAGATGTCACACTGGTGAAAGGCCTTATGAGTTTAGTGAATGTGGGAAATCTTTTCAACACAAATCTAACCTCCTTAGACACCTGAGAGATCTCAGTGGTGAAAAGCCTTAAATATGCAAAGAATTTTTATTTTCTCGCTTCATATAAAAACACTGAAAGAGACTCAGAGCCTTTAACCTGAGTTGTTTTTTTGTTTTTGTTTTTTTTTTCTCACCAAAGGACATTTTTGCATTTATCTTCAGACAGAGTGGGAGGGACAGAGTGGACGAGAAAGACAGAAAAAGATTGATGTGAGACACATCAACTGGTTATCACCCACACAACCCCAACCGGGGCCAGGGACGAACTACAACCTAGGTACGTGTCCTTAGCGGGAACCAAACTTAGGACTCTCTGGTTTGTGGACTGATGCTGTAACCGCTGATCGAAACCAATTAGGGCCCTTTACCTGAATTTAAACTTCTTTTACCAGAGCATACACTGTGCTAGATTTTTCATAAGTTTCAGGTAAAAGCAAGGCTTCAAGGAACCAAGTTGCATTTGCTAACCTGCCCAGGGCTATTACCAGATTGATGTCACTGCGAGTATTTGTGGCCCAAGCAATTTCACCTCTAACACCTGGCTGTCCTGAACACAGTGCGTCAGTCACAACCCCAGCGTTCTTAAGGAAAATGACATCTGTGTTCTCACTGTTGCTTGAGGAAATTATGAATACACCAAGCACTTGGCAGGATCCTCATTTCTTTAGCTCTGACTAGGGAATGGACCTGACCCAGTGTTCTTTTTTTCTTTTTTATCCACACCTGAGGACATTTTTTTGCATTTATCGTTAGATAGAACAGGAGGGAGAGAGAGAGAAACATCGATGTGAGAGAGAAACATCGATGTGAGAGAGACACATTGACTGGTTGCCACCCATACAACCCCAGCTGGGACTGGGGACAAATTGCAGCCAAGGTACATGCACTTAGCAGGAACTGATTCCAGAACTCTCCAGTCTGTGGACTGATGCTCTAACCACTGAGCAAAACCGGCCAGAGCTGTTCCTATTTTTAATCCTCACCCAAGGATATTTTTTTTATTTAGCTTAAGATAGAGTGGGGAAGGATGAAAGAGAGAGAGAGAGAAACATCTGTGTGAGAGGGACACATTGACAGGCTGCTTCCTCCGCACCCAATCAGGGCCAGGGTTTGAAATTCAACTGAGTTACGTACCTTTGACTGAAATCGTACCCATGATTCTTTAGTCTGCGGCCTATGCTCTAACTGCTGAGCCAAACCAGCCAGGGCCACAGTGTATTCTTGTATTATTATTAACTATTGTATTATTTTCCATACTAGCAAGTCTAAACCCCCTTTTGCCACACCTGTATTTACCTCCTGCCCTGTTGTAATCTCTCTGCCTTCCCCAGCCCTTCATGCAGTCATTAATTTGCCTTCCTTTACAATAGAATAGTTCATAGTTTTGAAAATTTTATAGGCATTATAAAGTGTATACTCTTTAACAAATGCTGGTTTCCTTCATGCTACACAGTTAATTTGAGATTCAACACTAATGCTTATATAAATAGTTAATTGTTTAAATGCTGACTGGTAGTATGTTCTATGGATTACCACTTTATCCATTGATGTATGGTTTTTGCTACCTCCAGGTTTGGGGTATTACAAATAAATCTGTTATGAAAATTTGCATTTGTTTTTTTATGTAGATATATGTTTTGTCTTTAAAGCTGTTATAGTGTAGGTGAATGTTTTACATTTTAAGAAATGTGGAACTGTGATCTAAAATGGTCAATTTCTTTGCCTTCCCACCAACTCACAGGATATTGAAAAATCCAGTTTTCCTGTAACCCTGCCAGCACTTATATTTGTTACTCTTAAATAGTTGCCCTGAGAATTTATATAGTGTTCACTTACTTTGCTTTCAATTCCATTTGCCTAAGAAGTTATGATGGTGAGGTCTTTTTATGCATTTATTTATGCTGTTTTTATCTTGCTTGGTAAAATGTCTGCTCAGAATCTTTTGCCTATTTATTAAATGAATTTATTATTGTAACCAATAGGAAGGTAATGCAGCATCTAAGACATGTTGGAATTCCTCAATGATTCGAGTGACATCTTTGCCCTATGGAACAATTTTTTGTGAATACTAGAAAGAAAATTTTTTTCTCAATTTTTTTTTCCGTTCTCTTTTTTAAAATCCTTACCTGAAGATATTTTTATATTTATTTTGAGACAGGGTGGGAGGGAGGCAGGGAGGGTGGAAGAGAGATGGCGAGAGAGAGAAACATTTTTGTGAGACAAACACATCAGTTGGTTACCACTCATGTGACCCCAACTTGGGCTGAGAACGAACCGTAACCAAGGTACATGCCCTTGGCCAGAATCGAACTGGGGAGTCTTTGATCTGCAGGTCAAAACTCTAAAAGCTGAACCAAACCAGCCAGGGATCAATTTTTATCCTTTGTACAATTTAAAGCACACTTGTGCCAGACATGTATAAGTTTAATCTGCATTGTTAACATTCTCCACCACTTTTTTTAAGTCTAAACATTCAATAATACATTAAGTGAAGTCTGTGTTTGTAATCTCTGTTAGTTTCTCTGATGTAAACACTGATTGTGACTAATTTCAAACTGCCAAAATAATTTTACTGAACTTAAAGATAATATGTTTCAGTAGCACATCATTATATTTTATTTCCAACATACTGCTACAATAGCAACAAATATGCTCAAGAACATTCATAATCAAATTGTAAAATAATTGGGAAGTGACAAGTTTTAAACTTTTTTGTTGTTGTTAATCCTCAGTGGAGGATATTTTTCCCCAATTGTTTGTAACCTGGAGTGGAAGAGAGGGAGGGAGGGAGAGAGAAAAAGAGAGACGGAGGAACATTGATGTTGGGATACAATTGATTGGTTGCCTCCCTCATGTGCCTCAACTGTTGCCAGAGATTGAACCTGCAACCAAGGTACCTACCCTTGACTGGGAATCAAACTGACGACCCTTCAATGCATAGGCCGATGTTTATAGACAAGGACCGGGGAAGGATTTTGGGTTCTGGATCTGCCTGAGAGAAACTGGCCAGGGATGTTCAGTCTCCATCCCGAGGTCTCTCCTGCCTAGTCTTCCCCATCCCCCAGGCTCCTGGCACACTGCAGCCACAACTCCCTCTGTATCCCAGAGCTGTCTCCTGATACTTTGAGCCCCCAGATCATTTCCCGTTTGTAAATCCTGCCTCCCACAAGCCCATGCACACTCCTGAGCTCCACGGGTTGTTTGAGTCTCTTTGTATTTGCATTTTGGGTAACATTTCAACTCTGATTTAATTAAAAATAAAGCTCCCCAGCCAGTCCTGAAGATGGTAAGGTGTTTTCTCAAGGGCAAGAACTTTCTGCAATACAAGTGTCTCCAGAGGGCTAGGCTTGATCTCAACAAGATACCACATTGGGGGGTGTGTGTGTGTGTATGCATTGTAGGTGGTGTCTCCCCTCCCTAAGTTTAGCCAGTTTAGAGCAGACGCTTGGTCCGGAAGTGAGGTGATGTACCCTGCTGGACACTGTTAAGCTGGACTATTCCATACTCTGAGAAGTCCAGAGTCCCCTGCACTTTGGAGCTGGCATTTTATTGGAGAGTGCACAGATAATGAGACAGGGTAGCTATGACAGTTGACATAAGCTCAGGAGGAAGGTGAAGCTAGAGATAGTAGGGGTCTCCCTGAGAAAGTCTGCAGAGGAATGGCAGGGTCCAGGGGGGGGTTCTGAGAGGAGCATGTTCTGGGAGACCACGGTGGCTGGTGGGCATCCAGCATCTGAAAATGGGGACATAGCTGGGCTGTGAGCACTGTGGGAGGACTTGACCTTCTCAGTTTGTCTCCAGCCTCAGATTGCCTTGGGGGAAGGGCTGGTATGTGGCCACTTAAGCAAAATCAGTGCCCAGAGGGAAATTTACAGTACTGAATGCAAATAAAATGTGCAGTAGCTTAAACCTTTTTGCTGATTTATGATTAAAAGTGTATCTAGCCCTGGCCGGTTTGGCTCAGCGGTTAGAGCGTTGGCCTGCGGTCCGGAGAGACCCGGGTTCGGTTCCCGCTAAGGGCACGTACCTCGGTTGCAGTTTGTCCCCGGCCCTGGTTGGTCGTGCGGGTGGCAGCCACTCGATGTGTCCCTTTCACGTCGATGTTTCTCTCTCTCTCTCCCTCTCTCCCCACCTCTCTCTCCCTCCCACTCTATCTGTACAAAAATTGGAAAAATGTCCTCGGGTGAGGATAAAAAAACAAAAAAAACAAAAGTGTATCTATAAGCCCGGCCAGTGTGGCTCAGTGGTTGAGCGTTAATCCATGCCCCAAGAGGTTGCCAGTTTGATTCCCAGTCATGGCTCATGCCCAGGTTGTGGGCCAAATTTTCAGTGGGGGGCATGCAGGAGGTGGGCAATCGATGTTCTCTCTTCGATGTTTTCTATCTCTCACTTTC